TATTAAATGTGTTTATTGTGGCATTTAAAATGCTGTATTAAGAAGCAAATTTCAACAAAAGTAGCTGGAAAACGAGGAATCCAGGACATGGCTGCAGCCTGTCGACGGATACCTGTTGGTGGCATTAAAATTATTTCTAAGAGCATTAAAAGAGCATTAAAAAGCATTACATTTGAGTTATTCATTCCTGTATAAACCCTGTTTTAAGTAATCAAGATGACAGGATATAAGGTTTGTATCACCATATATAATATTTTGTTCTAACTCTAGGCTTGGTTGTCTTCTCTGCAGGTGTTCAGCTAATGCTATTGGTGGAGGAAGATGCTCCTAAAGAACAAAGTTCTGATGGGAACCAGGAAGATTCCGACTACATCCTTGTAAAAGAGGAACGGGAAGATCTCTGGGCCAATTTGGAAGAAGAGAATGACAAGGAAGATACTGATGAAACATTATTTCCATTAAACATAGTTATTGTTAAGTGTGAGAATGATGATGAAGAAGATGATAATGAAAAAAAGCCTTTGTTCTCACATTTTCATCAAACAGAAGGCGATCTTCCAAGCAGCAGCAGCTTGGCAGACGAGAAGAAAGGAGAACTGGATGAAAATGACTGTGAAGTAGCAGGATCCAGCAGAAAACTTAATCGAAACCCTTGTGGAGACACTTTGAACTCTTCAGACACTGAAGAAAGTGGAGATTATGAGGAGTCAAAGTTTCATAACGCAGACCTTAAACCCCTGTCAGATTCTGAGTCTGAAACCAAAGATGGTGACAATGACTGGGTTCCAGGTTCAGGTAGAAACCTGGTTAAAACATCTCTGAGCTGCACCGAGTGTGACAATCAGTTTGCAAGCAAGCATTCACTCAAGAGACACATGAAATGTCATTCGATCATCCGGTCTTTAAACTGTTCAGTCAACAATAAAAGTGTTAGGAAGCAGAAGAACTTAAATTCCCCCAAAAAAGATCCGGCATCCATTAAGTACTTTAGCTGTGACTGTGGAAAAAGTTTTACCAGAAGAACAGATCTAAAGATTCACATGAGAATTCACACTGGAGAGAAACCTTTCTGTTGTGACGTTTGTGGTCAAAGGTTTAACCAACAGGCGCATTTAAACCAACACACCAGAATCCACACAGGAGACAAACCGTTTTGTTGTGAAGTTTGTGGGAAAAGATTTAGCCAAAAGGCACATTTAAACCGACACACAACTAGCCATTCTGGAGAGAAACCCTTTGAGTGTGACGTTTGTGGGCAGAGATACAGCCAACAGGCCAACCTGAACAAACACCGGAGGAGCCACACTGGGGAAAAACCCTTTGGATGTGATTTGTGTGGACAAAGGTTTAGCCACAAGGAGTCACACAAAATCCACATGAGACTGCATTCAGGGGAAAAACCATTTGGCTGTGATGTTTGTGGACAAAGGTTTAGTCACAAGGAGTCCCATAAAATCCACATGAGGACACATACAGGAATAAAGCCATTTAGCTGTGAGGTCTGTGGACAAAGGTTTGGCTACAAGTCAAATTTAAAAATACACATGAGACTCCACACTGGAGAGAAACCTTTTTCCTGTGATCTTTGTGGTCAAAGGTTTATTCAAAAGGCAAATTTGGACAAACATGCTAGAGTTCACATGGAAGGGAGAGGTGTTTTACTCTGAATACCAGAAAGACCAGTTCTGACTCGGTTTGGTCTCCAAACTTAAACTGTTAAAGGACTTAAGATAGCTTCTGTTTGCAGGTTTCAGTGTTGAGTTGGATTGTTACTATTCTTGAAACAATGCTGATTATAGCTGTTTTTATCATATCATCAAATGTTCTGATTTATATTTTAGTTAGTTTATTGATCAACACAAATGTTACATTAGCCAAATTACTTTAAAAAGCTACTGGATTGTCTGGTCTGTGTATAGTCCAGATAATATGGTGATTTAAAATATCACAAGCATATACTATAGACAATATATTTTTTTATAAAAAGAAGTCTGACATTTTTAAGATAATAGTGTTGGTTTAGTAAAAGGTATAGGTAGGTAGTTTAACAAATTCTGGTTGCCCTGAACCTGCAGTTTCTGATTTTCATTTTATTGCTTTATTTAGACATTAAAGCAGTGAAGAGTGATTTTATGAGTAGTAATTTTCAGGGTTCCTTTTCACGAAGCAGGTTTAACAAACTCAGATTCAAACCCTCAACTATAAATTGATCTAGCCTAAAGTCGGGAACTCTGAGTTTTCAGTTTTACAAATGCTGCTATGAAATAGTTCAATCATCTCTAAGTAGAACCACTCAGATTTTAGCATGTACGTAATAAGTTATCAGTAGAGCCCCAATTAGACAAGTCACTATGACAACAGGTAACAGGAACTGCCTATTACACCCCACTGGAAATAGGGCTTTTAATGCAAATAAAAATAAATGGAGAATGTGTAAAAGACAAAGAAGCCGCTCTACAGCTACAAAGGAGAGGAAGATGGAGGAGATTGTTGCTCGCGTTTATGCTTAGGTTTATATGAAGTCCACATTTATTAGGAGGACACTTTTCTCTGGTGTTGCATCTGTAGATCACTAGAACAAATATATTCTAAATCACACTTTTTGAGCAGAGACTGAATTTTAGAAAGTAAAAAAACAAAACATACTAGTAAGAATTAAGTTTTATATATGTAGAAATGTTTACAAATTTTAAGTGGCTGTTTTGGCATTTATCAGCTTGACTGAATATGTATTTGTGGTATCTAAAATACATTTCCTAATGGTCAAAACTTCAGTAAAACTAATACATATCAAAATGGCTTTCCGTAGCCTGTTACCACGATAATATTACGGAATTATTTCTTGAATTGTAGTGGATCAATTTCTGTATTTAGGTAAAATCATCTGGCAGCAGGTGAAGATGAAGAACAAAAATGTTCTAATAAATAGAACCTCATCGTCTCATGTGGTTCTTCAGTTTGATTCTAACTTCTTTTACACATTAAAGGTACACTATGCAACCGGTGTTGATTTTCCAGCGAGGCTCCCCCCAGAGGGCTAAAGTAAAAGTGCACTGTCGTAAATATGCACAGCTGTTCTCCTGGTTTCTCCGTCAAGCCAGGCGCGGTTGTTTTGAGCTTAGCAGACAGGCGAATGCAACGAATGACTGCACAAAGATCGCCACTGTGCTAGCAACGAG